ATAAAATAACTGAGGCCACTTTACCTTCTCACCAGAAAAGAATTGGCGAACATGTCTTTTATTTCTCTAGATGATCAAAGTTAAGCTAGCGTTTGATCATAGATTCTCAATTTTGTTTTAGTGATCCTAATTTGGATGAAGTTTGGTTTGAAAATAAAAATATGTTTGGACATAATGTATCAAAATATATCACCTTTTTTTTAAAAAAAAAAACAAACATGAAATGTGACTTATACCCATAAGTTATAAAAGCTATCAAAAATACCCAACAATACCGAACAAATAAAATTGTTGATCCTGTATATGCAGAACCTTCATCGACGCCATTTATTATCATTATCACAAACCATAGTCCTCAACATCGATAAGTTTCGCACAAAATTATCATTTTTATAATGAACTGCGTAATACATTCATCCTAAAATCATAACATGATAATATCAACTGCTATTAACACAGTTACTAGCCACGATAATTTGTCAAATTGCAATAATATTACAAGATCCATCAGTCAAAAAGAGAATGATAGTAATTAGCTGGTGGATTAGTTGGGTCATAATAGATGGTGGGTTTTTTTGTAAAATACAAAGTTCGGGGTAATTTAAAATTGTTAAAAAATTCAAAAGCAATATTTTGGGCAAAAATTTCTGATTATCTTCTTGTTCTTCTGCACAATACTTTTCCAGTGTGTTTTACGACTATTGAGTGGTTCGCCGTTCACCAGAGTTTTGGTACCAATACGCTTGTGAGTTAAATCGTTCTATCCTTAGAGGATATATTCCAGCACCTCTGGTACTTGAGGGGAATAATTTCCTTAAGGACACACTGTGTATTCACTAGGCTCGATTTATTCCTATATTATTTTCCAGAATTTATTTTCTCGTTCTGGTTCTACTAACTTTTTGTTTTTGTTTTTCCAGAAAGTTTACTGTTTTATTGTTTATTACAGCAATACAATTTTGATAACAATCTTAAGAAAGTTATTTTATTATATTTTGTATTCTGTTTGTGGAGATTAAAATCTGTGTGGTTTTCTACTTCTTCTGGATTTTACTATTCCGATTTGAAGATATAAAAACTTCATCAGAATATTGAAATTAAGAAAACGATTTGAAGAACATAAAAACTTCATCGTTTTCTGTGAAACATTATAAAAGCTTTGATTTTTATTTATCATACGTACTGCTTATTGTTAATTATAGTATTGTTTACTGTTCTGGTTTTGCCATTAATTGAACTCTTCTGTTGTTGACTGTGAGAAATGGCAATTGATAACGAAAATTCTTCTTCGACTGTTGCCGCAACGATAATAGCCTCGTCAAGCCGGACTGTTGTTCCACCGGCCGAGAAACCGGGGAAAATCTGGAGCCAACTTCAAAGGATGGCAGCAAAGGGTGTTCTTCTGGCTTACCAAACTTGGTATGCAGAATTTCACCAGTGAAGACCTTCAGTGCCTGCTGCGGATATGCCAGACAACGAGAAATTCATGATTGTTGAGGCGTGGAAACAGGCAGATTTTCTTTGCAAAGGCTATATCTTAAGCGCTTTAGAGGATGACTTGTACAATGTGTACAGTGTGGTGAATACTTCGAAAGAAGTATGGGACGCACTTGAGAAGAAGTGCAAGACTGAAGATGCATGCTTCAAGAAGTTCGTGGTTCCCAAGTTTCTAGACTATATAATGATAGACAGCAAAACTGTTGGAACCCAAGTTCATGAGCTTCAACTTATTTTTCACGATCTTATTGCTGAAGGTATGGTCGTGAATGAAGTATTTCAAGTGGCTGCAATGATTGAAAAATTGCCTCCTTCGTGGAGAGATTTCAAGAATTATCTTAAGCACAAGCGCAAAGAAATGAAGTTGGAAGATCTTGTGATTTGTCTCAAGATTGAGGAAGACAACAAAACAATCGAGAAGAAGTCTCGTGGAAATTCAATGATCATGGGCGCTAATATCGTTGAGGAGACTGCTCCAAAAAGTAAGAAGAGGAAGAGGTCTTCCGGACAGACTAAGGAGTAGAACAAAAAGAAATTCAAGGGCAACTGCTACAATTGTGGAAAAGTTGGTCACAAAGCCCTTAATTGCCGTCTCCCGAAAAAGGATAAGAAGAAGGGACATGCCACCATAGTGGAGAAGAATGATGACATTGATGATCTGTGTGTAATGCTTTCGGAATGCAACCTAGTTGGAAATCCGAAGGAGTGGTGGATTGACTCTGGAGCCACTCGACATGTTTGTGCTGTCAAAGAAGCATTTGCGACTTACTCTACTGCTGGCCCTGAAGAGATTTCCATGGGAAATAATGCAGCAGCCAAGATTGAAGGTTATGGGAAGATATTTCTGAAGATGACTTGCGGCAAGGTGTTAGTACTTAACAACGTTCTTCATGTTCATACAATTAGGAAGAATTTAGTTTCTACTTCTTTACTTGTGAAGAATGGATTCAAATGTGTATTTGTTTCTGATAAAGTTGTTGTGAGTAAGAATGAAATGTATGTTGGAAAAGGCTACCTCACGGAGGGCCTTTACAAACTCAATGTAATGGTTGTTGACAGTATGAATAAAATTTCAGCTTCTTCTTATTTATTGGAGTCAAATGATTTATGGCATATCCGTTTAGGACATGTCAATTATAAAACCTTGCCGAATTAATTAATTTAAAAGTATTGCCTAAATTCGAGTGTAATAAATCGAAATGTCAAATATGTGTTGAATCTAAGTTTGTAAAACATCCTTATAAGTCTGTTGAAAGGAATTCAAATCCTTTAGACTTAATTCATACTGACATTTGCAATATGAAGTCGACACCATCTCGAGGTGGGAAAAAGTATTTTATTACTTTTATTGACGATTGCACTCGATATTGTTATGTTTATTTGCTTAATAGTAAGGATGAAATAATTGAAGCATTTAAGCAATACAAGAATGAAGTGGAGAATCAATTGAATAAAAAGATCAAAGTGATTAGAAGTGATAGGGATGGAAAATATAAATCTCCGTTTGCAGAAATATATTCGGAATATGGAATTATCCATCAAACTACTGCACCTTACACACCTCAATCCAATGGAATTGCGGAAAGGAAAAATCAGACATTAAAGGAAATGATGAATTCTTTATTAATAAGTTCCGTATTACTGCAGAGTTTGTGGGGGGAAGCTATCCTTACAGCTAACCGAATACTTAACAGAGTAACCCCACAGAAAAACGCAATCTATTCCATATGAAAAATGGAAAGGAAGAAAACCCAACTTGAAATATTTCGAAGTGTGGGGTGTCTAGCAAAGGTACAAGTTCCTTTACCTAAAAGGGTTAAAATCGGACCAAAAATGGTAGATTGCATTTTTATTGGAAATGCTACAAACAGTAAAGCATATCGTTTTTTGGTTCATAAATTCGATAATCCCGAAATTTATGTTATTACGATAATGGAATCAGATAATGCTGAATTCTTTGAAAGCTCTATCCGTATAAACTGAATGTGAGTCGTTAAGTGAAAGACCTAAACGACCTCGGGAAGAACCAAGGGAAAATACTCCAAGTGTAGAAGATCCAAGGCGTATCAAACGTCAAAGAACATCTACTCCCTTTGGACCAGATTTTATGACATTCTTGCTTGAAAATGAGCCTCAAACTTTTAAAGCAGCTATGTCATCTTCTGATTCAACGTTTTGGAAAGAGGCAGTCAATAGTGAGATTCAATCAATTTTGGATATCCATACATGGGAATTGGTTGATCTTCTTCCAGGAAATAAGCCTTTTAGGTTCGAAATTGATCTTCAAACGAAAAATGAAAGCTGATGGCACTATTGACATATAAGGCAAGACTTGTTGTCAAAGGTTATAGACAAAAGGAAGGCCTTGATTACTTTGACACTTACTTGCCAGTAACGAGGATAACATCTATTAGGGTGTTAGTGGCACTAGCGGCCGTGTATGGTCTTGATATCCATCTAATAGATGTTGAAACAACTTTCTTAAATGGAGAATTGGAGGAAGAGATTTACATGGAACAATTTGAGGGTTTTGTGGTTCATGGTAAAGAAAAGAAAGTGTGCAAACTTGTTAAGCCGCTTTATGGACTTTAACAAGCACCCAAACAATGACATGCCAAATTTGACCAAACAATGTTGGCAAGTGAGTTTAAAATCAAGGAGTGTGACAAATGTGTTTACATTAAAAATACTCCAGGTCATGAAGTCATTGTTTGTTTATATGTTGATGACTTGTTGATAATGAGCAAAAGTATGGAAGATATAAATGCTACTAAGCGCATGTTGGCTAGCAAATTCGACATGAAAGACTTAGGAGCTGCTGACGTGATAATAGGAATCAGAATTCACAAGACTCCACAAAGTCTAGCATTATCACAATCTCACTACATTGAAAAGGTACTCGACAAGTTCAAGTATTTGGATTTCAAAATTGCCAAGACTCCAATTGACGTGAGTTATGCACTTCAAAAGAATGAAGGTGAAAGTGACTTACAACTGGACTATGCAAGAGTATTGGGAAGTTTGATGTATATCAACAATTGTACGCGACCAGATATAGCATGTGCTATTAGCAAACTGAGTCGGTTTACAAGTAATCATAATCAAATACATTGGATGGCAATGAAACGAATTTTGGGGTATCTGAAAAATATCCAAAATTATGCTTTGCATTATAACAAATATCCCTCCGTGATCGAGGGATATAGTGATGCAAATTGAATCACCAGATCATCCGAAGTTAAATCCACGAATGGATATGTTTTCACAATTGCCGGTCGAGCACTGTCTTGGAAACAATAAAAAGTCACGAGTGGATATGTTTTGCCCCTCTATTTGTCGGTCATTTAGCCAGTCAAAAACAATAAAAAGTCAAAAAAGGAGAGATATAGATTTAAAGACTATTATTTGGAAGAAGAAAACAGTAAGTTAGTCATCCCCTCAAATCTTGATTGGGGACATCCAACTGTTACTCATGAATGCATGCATTACGTATGTAGGAAAATCATTGTCGAGCATGTTAGTCAAAACATCATAGTGTGAATTTGTCATTCCTTCTTTCCCCCAATAATTAACATGGCGCTCCTAGTATATGAATATATCTCATTTCCTCTATATATATGAAGAAATCAGGTAGCTATTCAGTAATACAATATTCACTTCAACTTTTGCATGTTAGATAAGATGTGGGCGTCACCTTTCAGTATTTTGCTACTTATCACCTTCAGCTTAGTCCTAATTTGCGAAACCATAGAAGCACAAACACACAGTCGCCTTCTTCCTCAAGAAGAAAGTAAGGTCTCATTTTCTTTTATTAGAGCTTCTATAAGTTATTCCCTTCGTTTCAATTTATGTAAACCTGTTTGATTGAGCACGGAGCTTAAGAAAAAAATGAATACTTTTGAAATTTGTGGTTCCTAAACAAGTCAAAAAGGGACTCAGAGTATTTGTATGGTTATGACTATTTAAGTTTAAGCTAAATTATTACGAAATTTAGAAAGTGATCGTTCTTTCTGGAACGGACCAAAAAGTAAATAGGTTCACATAAAACCGGAACAGAGCTGTATATATTATGATTGCTTTTTAAAAAACTGTATATACAACTTTTATGATTTTGCAGAGAATGCTCTTAAAGAAATAGCGGAACAGTTGGGGAAAAAGGACTGGGATTTTGATGCGAATCCTTGTGATGATGGGAACACAAAATGGAACACGCCAAGGACTGACAATTCGTCAACGTATCACAATATTGTGACCTGCAATTGCTCTATCCCCAATACTGGTTTTTGTCATGTAGAAAACATGTGAGCCTTCTTCCTCTGTCTCTTTTTAGTTGTAGCTGCCTTCATTTTTTTTATTATAAGTGCTTTTGGTCGGCCGGAAAACGTTTCTCCAGAATCACCTTCAATTCCTGTTAAGTTGTTACACATTGGTTGAGGGATGTGCTGTTTGTCTCAGTATTAGTCTAGGGCCTGGTTTCTAACAACAACAACAACCCAGTATAATCCCACAAGTGGGATCTTGGGTGGCTATTATGTATGCAGACCTTACCCCTACCTTGGAGGGGGAGAGAGGCTATTTCCGATAAACCCTCGACTCAAGAAAAGGTGGAAAAGGAAGAAGAAGAAAGAGGAAGAAGCCTGGTTCCTAAAATCTAGATTAAAATTGGCAAAGATAAAAGATTTGGTTCACTAAGAACTGACTTTCTCTTTGTTTAAAATTAAAAAGAAAGATATAGGGGCCTATTTGCTTGGAATCAATTTTTCTGGGAACAGTTTGTTTACTACATGAGGAAATGAACATTTTGAACTACGCTAATAAACAATCACTGCTTCTGGACTACGAAAAGCAAATAGTTTTTTTTTCCAAATATTTGTTGAATAGTTTTGATAGCTTTTCTTATAATGTTAACAGATTACTCAAAGGGCAAGATCTTGCAGGTGTTCTCCCTCCCTCATTGGTGAAGTTACCTTATCTCAAGACAATGTACTGTCAACTGACTTGAATCTATGTTTTCAAAACTTTTTGGAGTTTTAATTGCCATATAAATTATGAAAATGATTATCCTTTGAATGAGAAATTATATTGTCAATGTCTGATCTGCAGTGACCTCTCTCGCAACTATTTGAGTGGTACTATTCCCCCTGAATGGGCATCTATCAAACTGGAATATATGTGAGCTGTACCTGAATTGCACTTAATACCTTAGGAATAACATAAAAAGGGTTCCTTTAATTTAAACTATCAAGAATTGATGGTTTTCAGGTCTGTTATGGTGAATCGACTCTCTGGACCAATTCCAAAATACTTGGGAAACATGACTGCACTACTTTATATGTATGTCTTCTTGGCTTTCACAACACTCCCACAATGATAAGTGGTCTTTATTTAATTTTAACATTCATTGAACTGGCGTGAAAAACTTTCAGGAGTTTGGAAAATAACATGTTTAATGGAACTATTCCAAAAGAACTCGGAAACATGGTTAATTTGCAGAGTCTGTAAGGCCTTCTGGACAATCCTTCTTTAGATGAAATTTGTGTTTTTACAACAATTTGACAACTTAGTTGCTTTGTGCAGCATTCTTAGTTTTAATAATCTCACAGGTAAGTTGCCAGTGGAAATCAATAAACTCACAAATTTGACAGAATTGTGAGCACCTCAGAATATACTTATGATGTAATTTCCTCTATGTCTTACACTTCCTGTTTGTCTGATTTCTCCTTTTTCTCCATTTTTGGCACCAATGCAGTAGGTTGAGCGGTAACAACTTTACTGGAAAACTTCCTAGCTTTGAGAGTTTTAAAAACCTCCAGAAATTGTAAGCATTTTTACACTAGTTGTTAAAAGTTTGTATTTCTAGATATATTTTGGTTGGATCAGACTTTATGCTTGGTTAACAGAGAGATTCAAGCTTCTGGTTTTGAAGGACCTGTATCTCCAAGCATTTCTGTCTTGACCAGAATGTCTGAATTGTGAGTTGTTTTTCTATGCTGCATACTTTCTTTAGTTGCTTATTATGGTGTTTGTTTTTATTTGGTTAGAATTTAATCTTAATAAGATGACTTTACAGAAGAATCAGTGACTTGACTGGAAGTGCTTCAGAATTTCCACCGCTTGAGAACATGACAGGCCTAACTAAATTGTAAGTAATTCTCGTGAAATTTGAATTTAGGCATTAATGGTTTCACTAGTTTAATTCCCTAGTCCATGGAATTTTTTTCTTCTTTTTTTCTGAAGCTAATTTGTAATTGCAGGATGTTAAGGAACTGCAATATATCAGGGAAGATTCCTTCTTACATAGCTAAAATGCCTCAATTAAAAGTTCTGTAAGTCTGCCGCCTAACTTCACTCTGATTTTAATTTCTTCCTCTTTCGATATCCTTTTCTTTCTCCCTTCCATACGCACCTGTACTTAACAGAAATAACGCATGCCAATTATGCAATCCTTCCTCTTTTATTGTTTCGCTTTTACAATTTCTGTTTACTTTTTAGGCCAGGAGACAGGCCTATTGAAATTGAGTCTTCCTTAATTGTTAACATTTGGTAGTTCTTTAATGAAGACCATATAGAGGAGAACTTCTCTCCAAGAGGAAAAAGGATAAGAAAGAACTTGAGCTTCCATCTCATGGTTATGCACTTATGCTATAGGTCTCAAGTTGGAAAAGTATTGTTTCGTCTTGACTATGGTTTTCTTTTGCTGCAGAGATCTAAGCTTCAACAGGCTTGAAGGACCGATCCCGAATCTGGAAGGCCTGAACAAGCTGGAGAGTTTGTAAGTGACATAACATAGAGATGAAACTTGTCATACTCAAAGTTCTTCTTTCAGCTTGCATGCCTGCGCGTTGGCCTTATATTCTCAACAAATCCAACTTTTTCTTTCCCATTGAAATATTAATGATAAAATTTAAACCTGAGACATGAATGGCCAAGGTGCTGAGGCTTCAAACACGTTTATCGCCAAAGAAATTTCCATTGTATGACATTTTATTGGTTGTTCAGAGCTTGATTCATTTATTTATTTATTAAGCTCTTTGTTCGAATTGATATCTCCAGTAGAATTAAAGATTTTGCTTTGCAAGGTACCTGACAAGCAATAAACTTACTGGGCCAATTGAAGATTGGATCATAAGTAGAGATTCCAAATTGTAAGTTTATTACTTCTGATAACATGGTTTTACTTATAAATCTACTCATGCCTATGAATGCGAGATTCTCTTTATCTCAAGAACTTTAGATTCCATAAGCATATAGTCATAAATGCCAATGTTTCATGCACACAGTATTCCTTACAGAATTTCCTTTTAATCAACACTAACTTGCTGATTCTGTTTTGCACCATTTATAATTCTGTATTTGTATTGGTAAAACTGACATTTGCATCCTGCAATCAGAAACACAAAAACTCCATCTCCTTTTATAGTACTGGGAGAACACTAATTATGTTAGAAAATCGTATTTGCAGCCATGCAGACCTATCTTACAACAACTTCAATGAGAGTTCTGAGCCACCTACTTGTACGGAAAACCTGTATGATCCTCGAACTTTATGCCTGCTTCCTGCTCATTCGCGCACCAGCTGTTGTTATTTCTAAGAGACATTTCCTTCTTGGCAGAAACTTGTTCAGAAGCTATAACGCAACAAAAAAGTCGTAAGTCTTTAACTTGTCTTATAGGAGACTCGATGCACAATCATTTTCTTAGAGAATTTTCACCTGACCCTCCTTCCAACTTGATTTAGAGAACTCGGGAAATGCTTGTCAAGTAATCCTTGTTCAAAGAGTAAGTTTATCCTTCTACAAGACTAAGATTCAAATTCTCTCAATCTAAGATTCTGTTTTCAGAAGTTTCAGATCACAGTACTTTATCAATTTCTGTTGATAATGGAGAAACAGAACACTTGATAATGTCAGTTCTCTTTGTGTCTGCTATGATTTGTAGAGGCAGATTTACTTCATGTGTTTTAATTGTATGCAGATCGGTACTCAGTGCACATAAATTGTGGTGGTCATGAGAGTGTGACAATAGGGCACACCACTTATGAAGCAGATGAAGATTCAGCAGGTCCTGCAAAATTCTTTTACTCGAAAGAGAGCTGGGGAGCCAGCAATACTGGAGACTTCTGGGTAGGCAGAAATGACTACCAAGCGACTAATGTATCTGCCATTAAGGGAGATGACGCTGAACTGTATACGACAGCTCGGCTCTCAGCTTTATCTCTAACTTACTATGGACGTTGTTTAGCAAATGGAAACTACACTGTGACACTGCACTTTGCAGAGATTGTTATAAGAGATAACCGATCTTTCCGAAGTCTTGGAAAACGGATGTTTGATGTCTACATTCAGGTCAATTAACATTCATGTGAGTAGTATGCCCAAGGTTTAGGTGCAGTTTACTTAACAATTTAACTGGATGCAGGGCGAGAGGAAGCTCAAAGATTTTGATATTAGAAGTTTAGCTGGAGAAGTTGATAAAGCTTTGATAAGAAAGTTCAATGCAGTTGTAGAAGATGGCATTCTAGAAGTGCGCTTTCAGTATGCCGGGAAAGGAACAACAGCTGTCCCTATAAGAGGAAGCTATGGCCCTTTAGTTTCTGCCATCTCTTTTGTATCTAGTAACACTACTACTGCCCTTTGGTTCACTTCTTTCTCTTTCCAGATGTTGTTAATTATTGTCAGAGAGCTTAAACAAATGACTTCATATTTTTCCTCAGACACTTTAAGATTGAATACAAACAAATGCAAGTGGACTTTACACTCTTGCTCTTCTTCTTTTCAATATCATAGATTTCAAGCCCCCTGCTAATCACAATAAGATAGTTCACATCATAGCTGGAGCAGTGACGGCCTCGTTAATTCTCATTTTCGCGATATTGTTTGTTTCTTGGAGGAGAAGCAGAAACAGGATATCAAAGGAAGCAGGTGATGCTACAGCCGAGCAGCCCTATTTCAATGTCTTATGTTTTAAATACATAAAACTCGCATATGGTTTGCTCTCCATGATTTCCTGAAAAAATCTAATCTAAATGAAACTTAGGGATTTTGAAAACAAGAAACATTATGGAAATATGCATTTGATATTACATATTTTCCAAATTATATGGAAGCATTACACCTTTTAAATGATCTCTTTTTCTTTAAATGTGCAGAATTAAGAGGACTAGATCTACTGACTGGTGTATTTACCATCAGACAAATCAAAGCTGCCACAGACAATTTTGATGCTGCAAATAAGATCGGGGAAGGTGGTTTTGGCTCTGTCTACAAGGTGAATCTCAACCTGACCTCTCACAAGCATTCAATTTTTTCGGCTTAGCTACAGCATCTAGACATGGATGCTATGTATAGACAACCTCCATTACATTTTATTTTTTCCTTTTATATTATTGAACAGGGTACACTATTGGATGGTACAGTTATTGCTGTTAAGCAGCTTTCATCCAAATCAAAGCAAGGGAACCGTGAGTTTGTAAATGAGATAGGTATGATCTCTGGTTTACAGCACCCAAATCTCGTCAAACTATACGGATGTTGTGCTGAGGGAAATCAACTGCTACTGGTGTATGAGTACTTGGAGAACAATAGCCTCGCGCGTGCTTTAGTCGGTAATCTAATATCCTTGTTCATTGTTTTAGTTTCACGTCAAACAGAACATAAGCTAAAATTAACAAGAACAACTCTTTTGTAATTAATGAAAGAGTTCGGAATGAGAAGTCAATATAGATATTTAGTTCACATCAAAATGCAGGTCCAGAAGAGCATCGGCTCAATATAGATTGGCCAACCAGGCATAAGATCTGCATTGGGATAGCAAAAGGCTTAGCTTTCCTACACGAAGAATCGTCATTAAAAATTGTTCATAGGGACATCAAAGCAACGAATGTTCTTCTTGACAAGAAACTAAACCCGAAGATTTCTGACTTTGGTCTGGCCAAACTTGACGATGAGGATAACACACATATCAGCACTAGAGTTGCTGGAACCATGTGAGTTTTCTGACAAGTCTCTCATTCATGCTTACATTCTTGTGTTCTTCGAGTGATAAATATATCTATTGGATGGTCACAGTGCGGTTAATTCTACATGTCATAACTTTCTGGAATGACATCAAAACCTTGCAGCGATAACTGATGATATAGGTCTATATGGCATTCTCATCCATGCAGCATATATACATTTAGGGTCTCTAGAATCCTTACATTCGCTCTTTCTTGCATTTCGGATATCTTATACGAGGTAACTTGCCGTGGTTGTTGTATGTACTCTTAACCAAGAAAGTGTGGTGAAGTTACAAGGACTAAAATATAGTGGCCTGGCTGCCCTTAAAGAAGGCTCATTCGGATGCTTAATCATATTTCTGGTGCTGATTGCGTTGCTTCAATTTTTAGGGATAAAAATGGTAACTGGCCGCCAATGATCTTTTATTTGCATTTCGTCCCAATCTATCGTTCTTGACGTTCTGAAATATCAGGCATGAAGTTGATGTCACTTTTAGAAACCTTGATCAGGATTTGAACATTTATATGTCTTTAACTTATAGTCCTCATGCATGCATGAATCTAAAGTTGTCACTCCGTGCTGCAGAGGATACATGGCACCTGAATATGCACTATGGGGATACTTGACCTACAAAGCAGATGTCTACAGCTTTGGAGTTGTTGCATTAGAGATTGCTGCTGGGAAGAGCATTATGACATATCGCCCCAATGAGAAATTTGTCTGCCTTCTAGATTGGGTAAGGAATCATAATCCCTGATATTAATTCCTAAGTTGCACACTATTGAACTAGTATCTTGCAATTTATTCAATTCCAATATTCAGGCCCTCGTTCTACAAAGGCAAGGAAAATTGGTGGAATTAGTAGATGAAACATTGGGTTCAGATTTGAAGCAGGATGAGGCTCTAAGGATGATAAACGTAGCTTTGCTATGTACCAATCCGTCTCCAGCACTTAGGCCAACTATGTCTGCAGTAGTCAGAATTCTTGAAGATCATCTTGACCTTCCTGAGTTTAACGTGGAATCAAGATTCTATGATGATTATGATGATCATCTCAACCTTCAAGGGTTAAGGGACAAGTATGGCCCGATGCTCAGCTCGAGCCAAAGTCAACCACCTACACATTCATCCAGTATTACAGGAAGAGAATGTTCTCCCTCTTCATCAGCTTAAATTCGCAGTCAGATCAAGATAGTGACATAAAGGGTAGCAGGTTTTGGTAGGACTATTAACAAAAACGGATCCATAATTTTATGGTTATGAGTTCTGTACCACAACCCTTTTTCCTCTCTGGGTTCTGGATAATTTCTTAAAACGAATACAAGGTCTATAGTCTATACCAAAGCTATTGGTTCTGCCGGATCGGTAAATTAAGTGTAGATCCGCCCCAGGTACTATATATGTGGGGTTGTTGTTTCCTTACTGATAGAAGGTGATGTTCAAATACTTGTAATAGCCTATACCAGAACATTAAAAGGTGCCCCTTTTATTTGCAATATAGCATATGAGAATGTAAAAGAGGTCTGAAATGAAACATTCATACAAAAATTTGAAGCAATGGTATCATTACTAATTTCAACAGCTTTTCAGATGCTACTTTGGAGGTGGCCATTCCAAGCAAATGGTATCTCATGATGTATGGATACAACTGGAGACCATTGGTTACTGTTTCAGCTTTGGGAATTAACATTAGAATTACAAATATAACGTTTTGAATCTCACATCCTTTGATCCTATTTAAGAAAGGACAATCACATGAAGTAAATAGTGTGCACATAATCCATAACTTCTTCCCCTTCTTACTACCTTGTAGGGCTGGGTATATATCGGGTATAATTGATTGCCCGAACCGATAAAATGCTATTGGGTTATCGATATCGGGTTATTGGGTAAATAGTTCGATAACGGTTTAATGTTATTTGACTATTGGGTTATCGGTTCGGCTCTCGGTTTACCCAATTTATTAACGGTTAACCGATAGCCCAATAAGTTTTAACAAAATTATAATTTTACCTACTAAATATATAAAGCCACCTTATGGCTCCATTCTCTCATTCTCTCAATTCACTCCGCAGTTACTCTTCATATTCAGACCTTGATCCTTACTGTAAGTTTTAAATTTTTCTGAATTTCTCATCTTACTTCTTCAGTTAAGATTTTTAGTTTTAAACTTCAAAAAATTAATTGTTCAAATTTTTTAGTTTTTCTATTTATTTTTATTTTTTTTTGAAACTGATTCTTTAGTATTTACAAGATTAGGATTTTATATTTTCCTGTGAATTATGGCTGCCCTCAGTGAGATAGTTAGCAAGATTAGCTAGTTGAATGTCTTATTCCTTACTCCTACTAACTTATAACCTTGAAATTTGAGATCATTCATTGAGATTTTCAAATGGAAAGAAAGTTTCTTTTCTAAAAAAGAAATTTAATACCTCTTTTTTAAGAACAAAAATTTCAGTTCCATTCTATTAAAAACATGAAATTTTAGATATTTTTTATTCTTATCGGGTAAACCGATAACCGAACCGATAAAGATCGATAACCGACTAACCGATACCCGATAACCGCTATCTTATCGGTTCGGTTATCGGTTTAACATATTTATAAATCGATAACCGATATGTCGAGCCGATAACATTCACGATCGAAACGAACCGACCGATGCCCACACCCTACTACCTTAGACAACTTTTTAGCTATTTTGCCATAACGTTTCATGTTTAGCTATTGAACCAAATGTGTGTTCTTATGTTCTATCATCAAAAGTATCACATAAAGACTCAAACTCTTATTAACTAAAAGTCATGTAACTTTAAATATTCTTAACATAACAGTTGATTTTGCTTTACTTTGATGCGTGTTAAATTTTTTGAGTATAAACTAATATTATAAAAGAATTCCTTGTGATGGAAAGAGTTATTATTACTTGATGGCTCCCATGATAAAAAGAGGAGAAATAGTGCATTGGTTTTGGCCCCTTATTCCTTACTGACTTAGTTCTTTGGATCAAATCCCTCCAAAATTTCTGCTTTATTTTCTTATTCTTAAGTTTTTCTTTTTCTTTTTTTGACAGTATGAAAATTCAACTGATGATAATTTTTTGTGATAGTGAAATTGACTATTTTTTTGTTCGTAAGTTGTTGGGACAGTAAAATTTTATATCATCAAATTAAATATTTATTTTAAAAGTAGTGGCGCAACCATTTTCGCGAAATCTTGGATCCGCATATGCTTGCAATAGATAATCAAATGTACTTGAAGAGTCAAACCATTGGACATCAGACGATTCTAGCTCAATTGTTTTGCCTTTGACATAGAAGAATAACTCTCTTTTTTGACTTCAGATAAGAATTTTTTTTGGAAGAAGCTTCCTTTAAATTGAAAACAAAAATAAAACAAAAATTTGCCCTTGTTTTTCACTTGCAAAAAAAAAAATAGTCAATGGTTTTCTTTTAGAAAGAAAATGGATGACTGGTCAACTGGAGAATCACCAAAGCAAACGCGTTTTATGTGCCATCATTTCATTGCATTCAAATGAACAAACAAACAAACAACCAACCAATTCACAAAGTCCAAAGTCCAACCTCTGACTCACCAAACAACAACATTCAAAAACAGCCAAAAAAGAGGAAAAAACAATTTGATCAACCAAAAAAAAAAAGAAAAGAGAAATTACTCTTTTCATTGAACAAAGCATAAAGTTTCAATCTTTATTAATTCTTGATATTTTTTCTGGAATTGGAATGAAGAACAAGTCATCGTCATCATCATCATCAGTCAGCTGTGTTTCTTTTTGCAAATGAACAATGGATTCAAGCCCCAATAAGTCTTCTTCTTTAGCCTCAGATGCTTTGATTACTACTCTCAGCAACTCAATCCAAGCTTTGGGTAGAGGGTTTGATGTCACTTCTGATATTAGGCTTCTGTACTGTAAAGGGACACCAGGTTCTCGTTTAGTTCATCTTGATGAAGCAAATCGTGTGGATCTTTTGGTCCCAGATGGGGTTGGTGTTTTGATTCCAAATGTTACAGCGGATATTGAAATTTCACTTGGGATGAGAAATATTGAGGCCACACCTGTTTGTACCTTCCATGAGGTCAGCTCAGTTTCTTGGTATTGTTTAAAGCTCATATTTTTTTCTGAATATCATGGTTGTCTTGTTTAATCAGTTTAGTACTATTAGATTAAGTCCATGGTCCTCAATTTTTGGGGTTTCTAGATGATGTGTTAAAAAATTCTGAGTTCTTTAGATTTTGTTTAGTGGGTAATTGTTCTCCATTTGTTAAATAATAGCCAAGTCATTTGAAGGATTGTTTTAATTTCTTGTTTTGGTATGAAGGTCAAGGCAAGACAAAAGATTTGAATTGAGGCTTATTCTAGATTTGGATTAGTAAATCATAGTGATTGTGCACCCCCTGTGATTTAGTGTGTATATTAAATTACTGGACAATTTCATGATGCTTCCTCTAGTCTATGTTCACATTTTGATAGTTCCTCCGTTATTTGGATCATGGCACTTTACCTAATTACACATGTACACAATGTAGTAAATTCTAGAGCAAATCAGTTCAAATCTTGAACTCGTCAGCGAATCACTGATTCGGATGTCTTAAACTTCTTAAAGACGTCAATGCTAAAAACATGAATTACTGATGAGAAGTGAATAAGGGTGGTCACAGCTGGCTTAAGATGCATTTGGTAGACAGAACAGTATGGTGTCCGTCACCTTTCTCAATATAATGATAACCAAATTCCTATGGAGAAGTGGTTAGGGTAGCTATCCATCTCCTTTCTCAATATAATAGAGTAGCTATCTGTCTCGTTGTCTATTCTCCTTCACAAAAATAAAAAGGGAAGAACTTGCGGGACTCATTAATTATGTATGTGAAATCCCTCATGCTTGAATTTCCAGATGGCAAAATACTTCAATGCAGTGTCGAATATATCTGAAGATGTTCCACTTGGGAGTTTTAATGCCATGTTTAACTTCACTGGTTCATGGCAACATGATGCAGCAGCTACTAAATCCCTTGCCATGATTGGACATGTTATCCCACTGTATACGGTCAGATTAGTAAAGCTAGATTTACTTCTGCGGGATGAAATCAAGCGCGCTGTTCCGTACTCTTGGGATCCTGCATCGCTGGCAAGGTGAATTATCTCACATCAGCACATTTGAACATTTTTATTTTGAATGGCACAATATGATTTTCTTCTATTTAGCGCATAGGGTTTGTCGTTCTAATGCTCAGCGAAGAATATAATCAGCTGCCTTTGTCAATGGTGTGACTTGTTGCAACTTTTTTTACATTCTTTTTAATTGCATAACCCCTTGAGGAGAGGGTGACCTATATAGTTGGCTGTATTCCAGTACCATTGTCGATTTGTTGCATTTCCAAATTTTAATCCTTTAGGCTCTTATCTGCTGCGGAAGGGGAGCCTTGGCGTAACTGGTAAAGTTGCTGCCATGTGACGAGGAGGTCACGGGTTCAAGTTGTGGAAGCAGCCTCTTGCAGAAATGCAGGGTAAGGCTGCGTACAATAGACCCTTGTGGTCCGGCCCTTCCCCAGACCTGCTTAGTGCACCGGACAGACTCTCATCTGCTGTCACCTGATCAGCTGTCTGCAGCTAGAAACCTTTTTTTCTTACTGAGCTTAAGCTTCTTATGCCCTGAACTTCTGTCTGGGAAATTGTAGATATATATTATTCCCAAATGTGCTGGATTCTGATTTTTCTGCTTTTAAAGTACTTCCTCTTTATCAATATGACAATATCTGTATGAGACATAGCATCATTGATCCCAGTTCAATTCAAGGAACTTAATTCATTTTCTTAAACCAATTCTTTGGTCTTTTCTGATATTGAAGTCCTTATTTCAGCTTTATTGAAAACTATGGCACCCATATTGTCACCTCTGCGACTATTGGTGGTAGGGATGTAGTTTATATTAAACAGCACCAGTCATCTCCTTTATCAGTTTCAGACATTGAAGACTATGTGAAAGACATTGGAGATCAGAGATTCTCCGATTTGAAAAATCTCTCAAGTGCCGGACCTTTAAGATACAAGGACAAGGTTAGCACAACTTATGTTTCAAATGATGGGCTCTTGGACACAGTAGTGCTTAGCCGACTTCTTAAAATTCTCTTTCTTTGACTTACCCCTCATGCTGTAAATTGAACATGTAAAATTATTGGAATTTCCCTCCGGCAGGACGTTACAGTTATTTTCCGCAGAAGAGGAGGTGATGACCTGGAGCAGAGTCATGAAAAGTGGGCAAGGACTGTAGAAACATCACCAGATGTGATCAACATGACATTTACTCCTATTGTGTCATTGCTTGAAGAGGTGCCTGGAATAAAGTACCTGAGCCGTGCAATTGAGTTATACTTGGAATGTGAGTGTTGTATCCTATCACTATTCTTTCCTCTTCGTTTGCAGTTGCAGATTGTGATTCATTCTCTATTGTTTTCCAAATTAAATGAGCCAGAAGTGTAGGACAATAGCAATAGTGGTAGTCCAGAATGATCATAAAAGTGGTAGTTCAGAATGATTATACTGTTGCTCTTGTCGGTTACTCTTTCATCTTCAGATGCATCTCAAATAGTACTCCTGCTGACCCGAAGAGCACGACAAGGGTCAATGCATCCATTTCTCGGTGTGAAATCGATCATTTTCCTTGGATTTCAAAAATAATACTACATAAATAGAAACTACCAAAGTACTCACAATTGTTATGAAAGTAGTTGAAAAACGTTTGAAGAGGATGTACTAAAGAAATATTGAATCACAAATATGGATGATGTTCTATGAAATGGACAGAGGGAGTATCGGAAAAGCCATATACCGAATTTTATGTTCTTTAGAGCAAAAGTTTACACAGCTATCTGAGTTGATGGAACTTCGGGGTCCGTATCTTTGGGAAAAACCTGTGTCTGGAGGATGGAGTTTGGAGACTGAAAAATGGATATGTGAACTATTTTCATGCCTGCGTATGCTTAGGAAATCCCCTGTTGTGTTCTAAATATTTGTCATACTGCTCAAAACATGTTTTTCATTGTCTGATGTATTTCATTATAATTTTCCAGACAAGCCACCAATAGAAGATTTACAGTATTTCTTAGATTTCCAAATAGCTCGTGTGTGGGCTCCAGAGCAAAATAACCTACAAAGAAAGGAGCCTGTATGTGCATCCCTACAATTCAGTTTGATGGGTCCTAAGCTCTATATTAGCCCAGATCAGGTATTCTTCATGCTTTTGTCCAGATTTCTGAACATATCACATGGCTATTTCTGAAACATCTGACGTTAAATTGCGGAAGGATCTTGCTTTTCCAAGTTTGCATGACGTGCCTTGTGCTTATTAGGACCAAAACAAAGAAGTACAACTTGGACTAGTTCTAAAGAATGTTTGGGTAATCGAGTGCAAGTCCATTACGTCACTTGTTATCATGCAGTGTCCTGCTAATTTTCTTTTTAATAAACCAATATTACATTTTACAATCATAATGACTCAGCACATTGAAACCAAAAGTTGATGCAACTGTAATTTCATGCTGTATTCATAGGTAGTAAGCTTATAGACTACTGGCAGAGTACAAAATCGAGAGGGTTTAATAGTAGACCAGCTCGGAAAATGTTGATTCCCTTGTTTAATGGTAAATCAACTAAAGTCTAATGTTCTTAAACATATTTTCGTTCTTGAATGGTTAGGTTTTAGAATTGTCACTGCTATCTGACTTCTAAGGTCTCTGTCCATATATGTTCATTCTTCAATGTGGGCTTAGAAGCGACTGTATAGTAACGGTCCTTAACATGCATTTGGGAACTACCATGTTATTGTAGTTTGGGATTTGACTGATGCATTTGTTTGCAATCACAACCTCAAATTTTTCTCATGGATATTCCTTATAAGCTATTTAACACAATTTGATAGTCCTTGCCATTAGGTGAATTGTTAACCACCTCAATTAATGGAACCAGTTTCTGTTTTCCAGTGCTGCTACTTGTATTATGATTTGACTATGATCTTAGGGAATGCTAGCCGATGTAATTGTGAGCGTTACTGTGTTAAACCAAAAAACCAGAAAAAACTGTTAGGAGAATTAAAGAAATCTGGAAAATAGTAGAGAATCAGAAATATTCCGAGTCCACAAGTTTCTTGTGTGTCCTTAAGGAATTTTAACCCCCTCACACGTTGCCAAGGTAATGGATTAAATCCTCCAGGATAAAACGGAATAAACCTTCCTGCAACAGTGGCAATACAAACTGCAGGATACCAACGAACTCAAAGAACGGAGCAAAATCGCACTTACGAATTTGAGAGAGAGAGACTGCGAATTAGGATGCAGTATATTCAGAAAGAAAGAAGTTCTGGAGTGTTTTTCGTGTATAGAAAATGGAGCCTTGCCGCAGAATTTATAGGCAATTATCAGAAGAGGTGTCTGGAAAATGTGCCTTTTCAGAAGAATATGCTGCCTGCCGCGGTTCTACCGCGGTTGCGGCAGAACCGCGGTCAGAGAGGCTTTCTGAACCTGCCTGCCGCGGTTCTACCGCGGTCGCGGCAGAACCGCGGCCAGAGAGGCCCTCTGAACCTTCAGCAGGGTTCTGGCGTATTTTCAGCAGTGATTTGGCATTTAATTAATTATTAAATAATTAAGTAAATTTTATCCAAAAATAATCTTATCGATCGATCATTTGACAAATCCGAAGCCGAAGCCGAAGCCTAAGCCGAGCGAGCGACGACGACGGCGCGAGGGTTCATTCTCTTCAATTCCTTTTAAGAGATTTAAGAAGTGATTCTATATATAAGCACACAAATGTGGTTGTCCTTCACCAATGAGGGACAAAGTGCAAGACAAAAGTTCACTTCTTCAAATTTTCAATTTCCCTCCATTTTATTTCCCTCCATTTTCAATTCACACTTCTTCTACTTTAAAGCCCAATGGCTTAAAGTCCAACATTCTATACTCTAGGTCCGCCCCTGCCGGCAGCTGGGAGCCACCATCCCGAGATGGCGAGCCGCCCGAGCTCTCCACCATGCTGATAAGAATGGCGATGGACGTATTGATATGGCGAAGTTGGATCAACTGGTCAAATATGCAAGAAAACATGGTTATACGCTAGGTTATGCTTGCTGTAGAAAGTGACTAGTTAATTACTACTTATTATATATAGTGAATTAACGTGTGTTTTTACCTTCAAGATTGTTAGAAGATAAAATCTGTTATAAATAGAATCTTATTTATGGTGAATGTCCATATTTAGAGAGACTCTAGGGTTTATTACTTGGTGGCTAAGTCAACCTCTCCCTATAAATAGAGGGTTCTATTCCATTGTAATTGATCCCAAAATTCAATAAGAATTCCCTCTCTCTACTTTTCTCTGCAATATTGTTCTTATTCTTTTATTATTTTATAACACGTTATCAGCACGAGACTCTACCGTCTCAAGAAGCTCTTTGAGAAGATGAAGGTAATTTTTCTCCTCTTTTTAATTATGACTGACATTATGAAAAGAAAGTTCGCTGCCCTTGAAATTTCGGGCAAGAACTATATGACATGGGTGTTGGATGCTGAAATCCACTTAGATGCTATGGGTCTTGGAGACGCCATTAAAGACAAAACTAAAGCATCCACCCAAGACTGTGCTAAGGCCTTGATTTTCTTGCGCCATCACCTTGATGAAGGGTTGAAAATTGAATATCTCACAGTCAAAGATCCACTTATTTTGTGGAATGGCTTAAAAGAAAGATATGACAACTTAAAGTTGGTCACTCTTCCACAAGCACGATATGATTGGGCTCATCTGAGGCTCCAAGACTTTAAGTCTGTTTTTGAATATAATTCTGCGATGTTCAGAATTACTTCTAAATTGAAACTCTGTGGAGACACTATCACTGATTATGATATGCTTGAAAAAACGTTTACAACGTTTCATGCCTCCAATATGGTCCTGCAACAGCAGTACAGAGAGAAAGGTTTCAAGAAGTACTCTGAGCTGATTTCTCTTCTCCTTGTGGCTGAGCGAAATAATGACTTGCTCATGAGAAATCACGAAAATCGACCCACTGGGTCTACACCATTGCTTGAAATGGATGAGGTGTATTCCCATTATGCTAAGCGTGAAAAAGGCAGTGACTCTATTCATAGTCATGATCGTAGTCGTGGCCGTGGCCGTCGACAAGGAAGAAATTTTCCTGGTGTTAATCATCCCCCAAAGAAAAATAACCACAAAAAGTGGAAAGGGAAAGATGGGAAGCCAAAAGCAAATGGTTCAAAAACTGAATGCTATCATTGCGGTGGAAAAGGGCATTGGGCAAATATTTGTCGTGTACCAAGACATTTGGTTGAGCTTTATCAAGCATCTCTAAAGAATAAAGGCCCTGAAGCCAATTTTGTCTCTGACAATTATTTTGACATCACCCATTTGGATGTGGCAGACTTCTTTGAGCGCCCTGATGGAAAAATAGACCACTTGATCGGTGATGGATC